CCTACACGAATACAGATGCAGAAATATACTTGAGTTCATAAATCCCTATATAGTAGCTTACCGTTACATACCTGGATCATGCAGGCAACGGAATGAATTTTAAGATTGTTGAACAGACCGCATAAAATGGCAATATATACAATGCCAAAATTTGGCTCTCTTTATTTATTCATTTACTTGTTCTTCGTCAGTCTCTCTAGTATATTTATATACATACATGCATATACAGTATTGAACCTTGATCATATTGGCATCCGATGATCATCATGTACTCCCTGATAAATGATACAAGTTATAATTTGAACTGATTTTTCAGAAAGATCAGGGCTATTCATTGCTCTGTTATACCCCTCCTTTCACCATATGCCAATCAGAACACTGATTTAGCTGGGAATCACATCAGCACTGGCAACTTTAGGAAAGAACATGAGCATCCCAAGGATTCTCTACAGAATATAGATGAACCTCTATTGCTATGCCCATTTAGTAATATGTCTACTAGGTCCATGGATTCAGCGCTTCCTTCTCCTGCTAAGTACTCTTCTATGGACCTCTCATTTTTACTCCTGTATTTTTTTTTTTAAATTCAATCAATCATGGCCCTGATTATCATGCTGCAATGCCATAGCGGCCAACAATAAACAGACATAGCTTATATCATTTCAACTGGCATGTAACAACACAATCCTATCTGGTTTCCCAAACTAGGTGGATGTTCACGAGACAAATCACCACAAATAATCCAGGGAGACAAGTTGTCTTCTCCTAAATTGCGGGACATGCTCCCACTCCCACTGATGCAGATGGAGACTTATTCAGCTGCTAGAATTCTTATCAGCTCTTATCTATTTATTTCAAAATTATGTTGCTAAGTTGTTAATTCTTTCCTAATTTATTTCGGTAAGACTCTGTTGCTATGTTGGCAATCCTTTCCTAGTTTAATTCATGATTTATAGCACCCTATGTAATCCTTTAAATATGGTAGTGATAGAGGAAAAAGGCAGTTATTGATTTTTTTTTTTACACTATTGAATTTGAGAATGAAGAGATTACATTAATAGAGAGATTCTGATTGTATTTTATTTCTTCTTGGCCGTCAACGTGAGGTTGGCTCTTGAGGTTTGCACCACCCACTGTATCGCCTTATTAATTAAATCAAGATAATAGGAACCTCCACATCACATACATAATGGCCAAATCATGAACATGAAGTCTCGAGGAATTCTGCTAGCCATTCAAATTGCCTTATCAAATCCAAACATTGACTTGGTTATAATCATAAAAGAAATCAGAAACCATTATCATTAGATAAGCTAATCACACTAGTATAGGATATCATCTAATTCATTCTTGTTTCCTCTTTCATTTCTAATTATATGACAGTCTTTCAACATTGGAAAATTAATCACCCCTTGTGACAAGAAAAGTAGAAGAACAAACCTTGGCACTGAGCTTTGAAACCATACACTGATGATAATGCACAAGGGCATCTATCAATGGTACCAGCACACGGAACTACTACCCACTGGGCTGCGCTTTTGAAGGATCAATCAGGCCATTCTAAAACACCAAGTTGGTCTAATAATGCAAATTTCTCATCTTCAAGAGTCTTGACCTCATCCTCAACCTTGCTCAAAGCTCCCTCCACAGCAAAGCTATCTTCCTTCAACAACAAATACTTGCGTCTTACATACCAGTATCCATCTACTGGGGCAGACGGGTCTGGCAATGAATCAGAGGTCGAACTCTTTGGTTGTTTGAACAATGGAGAGCCTTCTTTCTTCAAGCTCTATTTTAAGACTTTCTGTCCCGGTCTTAAAGATGCAGGCATCCGCACTTGTTGAGCTTCTCTGATATCATTTCCTCGCAACTGAATCAAGGAAGCTTTTGATGCTGCAACTTCCTTTTTAAGAGGCTTGACATTTGGAATTTCTGCTGATGTTGCCATCCTTGGATTTTGATTTTTTTTAATTTAATTTCTTTAATTTTTCTGGGAATCAACCTCTGTGACCTGAATCTCATCATAGATAGATTTTCATATCGAGTTTTACAATTATTTTTAAAAAACAAAATAATGTGTTTCAATGAACCCATGCAAAATGAAAAGCATTTTCCTACCACCAAGAATGGTGGCTGGATAAAAGAATGACATTGTCTAAATTCAATAATATTAATAAAATAAAAAAATGTTCGAGGACTTAATTGATATTAGAGAAATACCACCCTACCCCTTTCTACTTTCCGCTAGAAGTAGCGGTGAGTTTTAGGAGGAGAAGACCAATAAGCCCCTAGCTCTGACCCAACGGCCTGCACCGATTTGTCAAGCCCAAGTCCCTTTTACATTTCGGGCGGGCACCATTAGACCCACCCGCCCGATCCACGAGAAAACAAAGAACCGTTCACTTTCACTTTCTGCAATCCACAAAACTCACACCATCTACCATCTCTCCCTCTCTTTACTGTCTCCCTCTCTATCACTGGTCAAGTACTGCTTAAAAAATCCCCTTCTTCCTTTCAATTCATTTCTTCATCGTAATTGCATCTTCAATTTCTTCTTCCTTTTCCAATCTCAAAATCTGATCGTTGTCGTTATTTTTTTTTTAATTTTTGATATTTTTATGGTTGTTAGCTAGGGTTTCTTTTTTAGCCTGTTAATAAATTAAAATTCTCTCCTCATTTCAAATTCTGATTTCTCTCCATCTGTCTTTGTATTGCAGTGAAATCAAAGAAGCGATTGTTTTTTTTCATTAGTTGATTATAAATAAAGTTCAATTCAAGAAGAGAATGTTTGAAGGACTGGTCCATCGCGTTCTGGTCGGTTATCTAGGCCGTTACTTTAAAAATATCCAAAAAGAACAGCTCAAGCTCAGCCTCTGGAACGGTAATTTTTATGCTTTTTTAATTATTTATTTATTTATCTATGTATTATTATAGAAATTGATGATGCCTAAAGGGTATTATTGTAATAAAAAGTCTTTGCATAGGGTTTATGGCTTAGGGTTTAGGTGTAGTTTTTTTATGATAATTTGTGTTTTTGATGAATAATTAATAATCCAGAGGAGGTTTTATTGGAGAATGTGGATTTGATTCCGGAAGCTTTCGATTATCTGCAGTTACCCTTTTCGATTAAGCAAGGTATGATGAATTTATTATTTGATTTTGTTGGAACTTGTTTTTTTCACCTGTAATCTTCGTTTTTGTTTTGTTTAGGTCGGGTTGGGAGGTTAAGCATTAAGCTTTCGTGGAAAAAGATTGGGTGGGATCACCCCATTATTATTGCTGTAGAAGACGTGTTCATTTGCTTGTCCCAACGGGATGATCAGGAGGTAGTATGAATCTTGGGTTTTTTTTAGACAATGTTTGTGTTTTTTATGAGTTTGCAGTTTTGATTATAAGAAAAGTAGAATGAAAGAAATTATAAATCTTTTGCTTTGGAGTTATATGCATACATGCGCCAAATATGTAATGTTTGCTACTTTGTTTTCCCCTGCCTGCCTATCATAGTGGAATTTGGACGCAGTTGAAAGACGGGAATTTGCTGCTAAAAAAGCTCAACTTGCTGCCGCAGAGCTTTCAAAATTGTCAAAGCGCATATGTGGTAAGCTGTTTGCACTCCACTTTCGAGCATCGGTGGTTTATTTGGTTTCAGCAAGAGTAAGCCCTTTCATTTGATTATTTATGGAGATGCTCATCTCTGGAAATTTTGATCCATGAAAAAGTTTTGTTTTGACAACTTAAAGATTCCAAAACTTAATGGTTGTGAGAGAAGGGCATGGCTGATCACATATCACATTGTAGTCTGATTTGGTGGTTATTTTTGACTCATGATATATTTTCTTTCTGTGAGATGACTTCTTATGCTTAGTTCAGGAGATTCTTATTCTTGCCTGGCATTTTTTTTCCCTGTAGATAATCAGGCGGGGAAATCATTTATCTCATATATTACTGCAAAGGTAACATGTGCCTTCTTGTTATCCATTATAGCTTTTAATCAATAAACCTTTTGTTTTGGGTTGTATTTAAATGTATGTTATGTTTGTAGAAACAATAATAAATATCTTAATTGTGCTGCTATTTATGGGTTTATACAGTCATGAGTACATTTGTATTACTGTATTACAGGCTGTTGTGAGTGTTAGATTATGCGGTCATTTTGCTCACAAATTGTTTAGTTACTATGCTCACTGTAGCCCATCGGATTTCATTTGTAATGAAACAGTTAAAATTGAAGATGTAATTGTAATATATTTGCTATTCTCTGAGTTCCTTGTTTTGCTTCCAGGTTCTTGATAGCATCCAACTTTCTATTAGAAATTTTCATGTCCAATACAGTGAAAGGCAGTTTGACTCGGTGAGCTTAATTGTTTTCTTTTGATACGTTTATTGCTTCCTGGATTGCTTTCGCTTATGTTGTGAACAGATATCCTTATTCTTTGTATCATGCATATGCTATTTTTGTTAATGCAAGAGGGGCTGAGTATTCCTTTTCTTCTTCCTTCTTTATCATCATCAATCAAACTAGACAGTGCCGAGTTGTTTTTTCATTGTAAGGCTCTACCTGAAGTGCAGGCTGTAACTCTTCATTTTTCCAACATGCTTTCCAGGCACAGGTATTGTTCGGGTTGCAGTTTTCCAACTTGACGGTAAAGCAAAATCTGGTTGGGTAATTTTTTTAGGTTAACTCCTGATGTTCTTGTAGTTTATGATAGTTCTCATAATTTTTACTTTTATGTGAATCTGTGAGAAACTACAAGTTGAGAAATGAGGCTGTATTCTACATGTTTGAAAACTATTATGTGAATGTGTGAGCATTTTATGATAGTTCTCATGGCTTTTGTGCAGATTTCAGAGGTCATTGTCTATTGAAATCTGTATTTTACTTGATTTTGTGTATTTTGCTTGATTTTCTTGTTCATCACCTTTCTGTGTTTCTCTTTGAAAAAATAAGTCATATATACTGGGTTTTTCTTTCATCTAAAATAAGATTTTCATTTATTCATTTTTCATCAATTGATGTTTATCATTTTTATCACATCAGATCATTCGGTGCGAAGATGGTAGGTGGCCAAGTAAACAAAACTGCGAGTATTGAAGGTTTGGAAATTTATTGTACCACTTCTAAAGGAGATATTGATTCAGTGGGTTTGGATGATGCTGTGGACCCCAAATACTGGTGCAGCGCAAGAAATG